TAAACTTATTTTAATTCAAAATACTGTTCTTATAAAAACAACAAATACTTATATAAATAAAACCAGTTAAGTGAAAAAACGCAAATTATTGAATAGTTATGGTTTAAAGGATCGTGATCGGTGTTCAACTGAGTCTGTTGTGAGATAATACCTCACTGAAGACAATGGTGGACGGTGGCTCAATTTCGTGGATTAGTTGAAGTTAGACATTAGCATCATTGGATACCGGCTAAGTGGTCTAGAGGTTAAGCGTCCGCGCACGAGACTGATAAGTCCTACGTTCGGATTTCGTGAAGTGGGATCGTGGATGAGTACTGCTGAAGAGTCCCACAATAGAACGAAACGGTTGTCAAGTGCTTCCAGGTTTTTCATGGTGGTATAGCTTCAATTAACTCATGAAATCAATTACTAAAATCTCCACAAAAACATTTCTGATAATAAATTAAAAGTTATGAACCGTATTGAAACTAATATTTCATTTCCGCTCAAAATGAAAATAAGTCAACAAGAGAACCATAAAATGTTCATTTTTCTGATGATAGGGAAGTGAGAATGAAATTAATGATTGTTTTTTGTCACAGGCTGACATTAAATAAAGAACCACTGAAGGTTAAAAGAGAATTGAACAGCTGTTTCATCTTAATTTGATGTTTGTCACAAGTACTCACCCGGCTACATCAGAAATTATACCTAGGACCTTTGAACCTCATTGCAAATAAGTTGTCTGTAGACGTGGTTTACAACCTAATGGTTTATATTTTCAAGTTTAATCAACTTATGATTCTTTTAAATTACAGAAAGTCAATATCTGTGCACGATCTTGACGATTTTCTATATCATCTTCATTAACTTGGAATCTGAGTCCAAATGTCATATTATTTATCACGTTTGTTGGTTTCCATTTTTCGATATTTTTTTAAATTTAATGAATAAAGTGTACGTCGGTACTGTTCCTTAATGTGGTTAGACGGTACCTTTTCCCTGTCTTACAGTTTACAACCTGAAAAGTACCATGTCAAAACTAATTCGTTGAAAGAACACAAATAAAATATCGACATGGAGCTGTTAGAAATAATGGAGTGTTAACGTTTACTTGATTTACGTTACTCTACTAAATAGTTTATAGTTACTCATTACAAGCACATTATAAGTACTTATATTCTGCTTAAATTTAAAATAATTAATTTCCATACACTCATAAGATATAGTTATAATAAAAAACTTAATTGACTGTAACTGAAATCAAATCAATTAATTGGAAAATTGCACAACCTATAAAAATATCTAAATGGAGAATACATAGTATTTGTGTATAAAACACTTAGATGAATATTATATAATTGTCTTGTTCGCGCCTAATTCAAATGTTAAAAACTAGCTCCTAAAATGTGTATATTTACCTAAACTTTTATTATAAATACATTATAATATCAATTATTTAATTACTACCAATGTAAACACCAATTTTGACAATGGTATAATTAAATTACTTTATGCAGCAATCGATTCAGAATAATTTGATTGTAAACTAATAAATTACATATTTTCGACTTAAATATTTCACTTTGTACACCATTTCTCTTATTATTATTACCGATCAAACAATGAGTGAGTATCAATAAGCGATAATTTAGTTATCTTTCTTTTTTTTCTTCTTTCAAGTGAACATATTATTCTTGACCCAATAAATATGATCAAATACACTTAACAGTTAGTTAACAATAAAGATAATAAGAAATTTTGTTATGCGTAATAAAATATAAACAACTCAAGTTTGTTTGTTTGTTTGTTTACAACAAGATTTATTTGATTAATTTACTCATATATTTTTTTAAAGAATAAATTCTTAAAGAAATGTAGAATATTCATTCACAAGTTACTTAATATTATTAAATATTAAAAGAAAAAAAACAGTTCTCTTTTATAAATACCTTTTATTCAGTAATATATTTCTATTACAATCATAACAGTCAAGGCTTTATTAGGATAAAAGTAAAAAAAATTTTTGTAATGACTAAAAATATTATTTCTTGATGAATTTCCCAATGAACTAATCTATCGTCATGTTAATTTAAATGTTGAATAATAATCAAAAAAGTAATTGACTTATGGACTCATGACTGTAGTCTGTTCTCGCTTGATTAAAATCTTATCTGCAAAGCATAAACGTAAATATGATGAGTTTTTTCTTTTTATTTAGACTGTTTTTTCATTTACCTGTATAGGGGATATTGTACTTTTTCAATATTAAGTAATAAGTTACAATCTAACGAAAGATTTTCGTTTGAGTATAAACAGTGACTGGTGCTTGAATCACAGTTCATATGAATAATTAATATTTTTTGTTTTGTGTATAAACAAAGAAAACCGTCAGGAAAAATCGAGCTATTCGAATTTTGACACATATGATTGACAATGTTTGCTGTTGAATTTGGCTATGATAAATTATTGTTGACCTTTAAGGTGTTTTTGTCAAAAAATCTATTTTGATTATCTTTCTTTCTGACCTGATCCGTGATCTTACATTTGTACATGATTTTTCTTATTAGTTGATAAATTGGATAGATTTCTGAATTTTGATGATTGCTGATTGACTCAGTTCCCGAGCTTAAAAGATTTTCCCGGTCGTCTTTGTATTAGCTCTATCCAAGATTTCAATATTTTCTCAGTCAAACATGGGTCCACGTGTATTTCTGTAAGCTTAGATAATCATGGTGTTTTATAGCCAGTTGGTTTTCACAATGATGAAAATGACGAGAGTCTTCAAGTTGTCCAGTATAGTATTTTTTGCAGTTGTAAAAGTTTATTTTGTTGATAATGTTTGACTTTTTTCTTTCGTAATTTTACACTTCATTTTTCATAAGGTTGATTGAAGTAATGTCGCTATCTGAGACTAACACCCACATAGCGTCATCAGAAAATGTAAATTAAAATCATCACCAAATATGGAAACCAACAAACGGACTATCCTACTACGTATACAGTAAATACCAGAGATTACAACAAGAATATTGAGGCCGTTTCTAATTTGTGTAGCACATAAATTAGCTTAGTTACTAAGATTAATAATAATTTTATAACCCGCATAGTTTCACTCTTTACTTTAGAAACGTTTTGACCTGTTATTTGAATAATCTGTATGTGATAAGTCATCAATTCCAATCAGAGGTAATAGGGTAACGATAACGGCAAAAATAACAAGCACTTATTTAGTATACAAGCTGTTTCAGACACAGATCTCTAATGGTCAATGTTACTGTAACCACATTGTAAAACACCACAAATATTTGGTTCTCTTCATAATCTTTTTGTCGGCCTAATAAACGGTTCTCATTGATGTCAAAACTTAGAGCTCTGTTATCGAATCATCTAGGAATACGTTTCTGTTTACGTTTTCTCTAACAAAACAGATGCTTTGTTGAACTGTTAGATATTGTGTCAAGTCAATGTCATATATTATTTAAAAAATTGATTTCACCCAATTTAAGTTTGATTCAGGAAATTTGAAGCTTCATACTATGAATTTCAATGTGATTTTATGGTTTATAATACAAAGAACTGGTGCTCGAAAATTTATCTGTACTAACACGTGGTCAAAGTTTAGTTTATTAATTACCGACCTACTTCATATACGTTATAAATAAGAAAGCAGTTCGCTTCACGGTAATTCAAACCTGATAATATCTTTTAAGTGCGTTTAGCTTTTGATGAGATCAACGAATGAGTTGTAATGCAGTTAAAGAGAAAAACCTAATGATTAAAACTTCGTTATTATATACAATAGCTAATTCACAGAATGTTAGGTGGCAAATCTGTTTTATACACAGGTTTATTTTTATGTGCTTTACTATGTGTGATAGTAAGTTGCAGAACACGTACACCGATTATTTTAAAAAGTGTTATTTACATTTTAATTTCATAACATTTTGACCAGTCGCTTTACAGAAGTATAACTCACTGCGATAATCCTCCTTAAATAATAGTAATTAAACGTTAGATACATTAAATAACAATTGCTAAGGTCAATAACTTCTGCACATTCAAGATTTCTAATAATTCCAATACTAGACTTCATATTACCATTCTTTACATTCTTTATGTGATGCTTTTGTAAACCGTGTACCTACTTTTTTTTAAACTATTTTTGTTATTGAAATTTTATATAGTTTAACCATTCCGAAAATGACAATAAACTACAGCCGATGCTCAATAGTATATGATTTGAAGTTGTTTAACCTATATGTTTAATCTTTTAGGACTACACATGACATAATCTGCAGACAAGGCATATTTCTTATTAACTTCTATTAACCAATCTTTTTCAGGAATATTAAATACGCCGAATAAAATTAAAAAGTAAATTAATTTGCTACTGAATTCTATTTAGAATTCAATCTTCTAATATTATTAAGTTGCCAACTTGAAAAAAGAAAAAAAGTAGAGGATTATTGAATGTTCACGTTATACCCTAATGAACATAAAATTGTTGTCATTAGTTTATGTACTTGGATTTATAAAATCATCAATTTTAAAAAAAAAAAAACCAGGTGAAGTGATTTGTTAATATCCATAACTTCAAATAAATCGTGACTTTTAGGTAAAGAAAAAAATCCTTCTTTTTACTTAGTCACGTTCGAATATGTATATCAATATGTTTGATTAAATTATATTTAATAAAATAATCTCAGTATTATTGACGATGATATTGCTAGTTTGAAGTGATCCTTGAAACAGTAAACAAAGTGTTTGTATATTTTCTTTTATTTGGAGATTTAAATGATGAGAACTGAGAGATTCACAAGGATGAAACTTTTTCATAGGCAAGTAGTAAACTTGATTTCATGTAAATCAGGAAGCTTTACTGATTTCTATTAGGAACCTAAGATTTATTTCAAATATTTTCTAACGATGAATAGTGTTGATATCAATCGATAAATTTCATCCATTACTGTTTACTGAAATGGAACTCAATAATAATTTACTTTGCAATTACTGTTTTCGTAGGCTTATATTATGACATTGTAACTGTCAGACCTAATAAAGACAAGAATAAAACGTAAATGTTTCATGTATATGGTGTTCAGTAGTATTTTTTTATTAGGAAAGTATAAGTCACAAGTAGTTCAGAAAGTGAAATATTGACACAGATTTTGTCTTGTCTTTTTAATAAAACTCTTTTCTTTTTTTAATAGAAAAAAAGAAACAAAAATGCATTAATTAATTATTCTATTGTCTTTCTTTTAACAGATCATATATGGAGTAGGTTTTATGCCGTGTTAATGATGGAATACCACCGTAACGCATAACATTATCAGCTCGTTTCCCAAATCTAATATAACGTTTGTTTGGAATCATCTCCTGATTGATGTAGTCACTGTATTCATAAAGGGGATCATAGAACTGTTTATGAGGATCTGAAAGGTGATTAAAAACAGTATTGAAAATGAAATTTCGCCAAACAGTACTACGTTTACGACATTACAAAATAAAATATTAGATTTTCTTATGAAAAAAATTAGGATATCGGCAACAATCAATGAAGGCTTAATGTAACTTACTATTCATATTTAGCAATAAATATATTTTTGTTATATCCCAGTGAGTATAAAAATCGTCTTTCTGACGTTTCATGACCTAATGTAAGCCACTTCTTCAGAGCATTAACACAAGTTTAATCCCGCGTGAGAGATCGTGGATGCCCACTGTTGAGGAGTGCCATACTGGGACGAAACGGTCTTCCACTGCTTTCAGGTTTTCAGTGGTGGTCTAACACCAATTGATCAATGATCTCAATAAAAAAAACACTCAACAATCTTCACAGTCTCATAGTGATGATATATTTATTATTTACTCTCTATACAGATTCTCAATTTATTTGAAACTATCATATCCAACCTTGGCATTAATATGTACGAAATCAGATATATGCGGTAAATTTGAATAAATATAATTGGCATAATGATTACAACCAGTTAATGATAATCTGATAGGTAGTCTCACAAAGAATGTATTTCAGATAAGGGCTAATAATGAAGCATAAATGTCAGGATCTTTCATAGTTATGCGACCAATATTTCATTATTGTGAAAATTGTGAGTGATATGGTTTTCTAAAAGTCGTAAAATGTACTAAAATGTCATTGTAGTAAAAATGAAAAAGCCTTCATTCTCTCAACATTTTTTGTTTGACAGTACACAAAGATCACCATTGTGGATCAAATTTGATTTAGGCTCAACAGTCACAGACTAGGGTTAAAAGTCACTAAACTACAGTTTTCTATTTATCGAAACAACTATTGAGCCTCTCTTCAAAGTAAATCAACTACAAAATGTAAGTCTCTAAATCAGATCAAATCTCTTAGGCTAACGTTTTCAACAAACACTCAAAAGTAAAACGTTTTACTGGTAAATCAGACATTATCATGTTGACTATTCAGGAGAGAATATAAAAATTAATTTGTAAATTACTTGGATATAATTAGTTTTTATAAATGTTGTAGTCAATAATATGGTTTGAATACTTTTTTCTGGTTAGCGTTTTTTTAGCGAGTTAGTTTTCTACGGGGTGGGGTCGCTAACCCCATGCCCAACCCTCCTCCTTTATCCGGGCTTGAGACCGGCAGTAGCCCCCGGAAGGGACTCCAGGCGGAGTGGGTTGGAGAATGCTGGTCGGCGGCCTATGCTCCATCGGGAGTAACAGGTGTAAGTAAGTAAATAATATATAACATCCATAATATAAATAGATAATCTATCAAGATCTCATATATGGGAACAAAACACTGTACACATGTCTATACACTTGTCATATATATCTTATACAAATAAAAACAATTAAACTAACAAGGTTATGTATATTTTATTGTTGTATAGATTGTTAATAAGAATCTGTTATATAAAACAGTCAAGTTTAGAGAGAAATACTCATTTTATTTACTATTTTTGTTCATTTTTATCTCATCCATTTGACCCTATACAATTAGGTGAATTAATAATGAATAAAAGGAATCCATAATTACTATCACATTTCTGTTTACAGTTCTACTAATTATTTATTTTATCTAAGATAATACTGAGTATTGTTAACGATTATTGTTATAATTGATATTACTAATAATGTATAATTATTATCATTAAGAGGTAGATTTACATAATTAGATAGGAATTTCATAAGAAGCTTGTGACTTAAGGCTATATCAAGGCAATCCGCACTGGATGCATGTATGCCAACAAGAGACTGATCAGTTGCAGTTCTTAACAAGAATGGGAAGATACAAGTAAACAATACTAAGTGAATTTAAACTCCATCCCGTTGCACAAGCGAGTGGCTTAGTAGCTAAGTGGATAACGCAATGGTGTTCGAAACGAACGGTACTGGGTCCGAGTCCCAGAGTAAACATTAACTCTGGGATGCAGGTAAATCCAGCTGACAAGTCCCAAATAGGACGAAATGCACGTCCTGAATTCCACTGCTAGGCACTATCTATCTTTGCTTCATAAGATAGTCGTTTAAAAATTACCCAATTAACTGATTAATAAAAGTGATTATTTTAGTGAATTCAAATTTTTTTCTTTGGTAGAGTGATATCTCTTACTTTTCCAGGGAAATTAGATCATTTTAATAGTGAAGTTTTCTATTCATTACTTTCAATCATAGATGATAAGAAATACACTTCTCATAATTTGATCTCACATTTATATAAAATCAAAAAAGAAATCATAAAATATTTTTTTATATGAACGAATTGAATATTTCATAAAAACACTTAAATGATGAGAGACAAAATGATATCAAAAGTTTAGTTTTCTTTTAAATTCATATCATTCGATATAAGTATACCGTATTATAAATTTGACATTTGGCCAGTACTTGAAAAACGTTAGAAACTAATTAATTGTTTTGCTCCGATAAGAATAATAAGTGGTAATTTTTGGGATTTATTTGTGGACCATTAATATACGAATATTTTCATCGTATAATTGTTAATTAACTAAACTATTCATATTCATGTCTCTCTTATCAGAAGCTTTATTTTGACCTATTAACTTTCATTATACGATTTTCCATTCTTGAATTATGCCCTGTTTATTAATCATTGCCTCCCACATTCACAGACACATCTGGCCAAATCTTGTACAAATGTTGTTTCCTATTTTATGCTACGTTGTGGTCTGTTTGATTGGTATGTAAACCGAGTATGTTTGAAATAAATGATTCATATCGCAGAGGCTCAGATTGGTGTTCTGGACTTAACTGACTGAGTTAGGCAGGAATCAGGACCAGTATGAACTCTATACTGCTCGTACGTGTTTTATGCTTCACTGGTTCGATCGATAATCCACTGCTCTAAAAGGTACATTAACATGGCACACAGCCCACAAGTTATAACATCAGTAATAAACTCTTAACGTATAAAAATATACTATTATAATTGACATAGGACTATTTACAATCCACACAACAACTTGATTAATTAATACGTATAAAGTTTCATCAGAATCTAATACATTCAATTGAAGATCTTTATTATTGATATTTGCTTAGATGACAATTCAAAATGAAGTTAATCAAAATAGCGTATTTTTCTCTACTTTCTTTCATTATTATGTATTTAGTTTAGTTGATTTGAAGTTTTAAGCTTTTATATATACGAAGGAATAACGGAATTTCTTATTTGTTGCCATAGAATTATTGTCTATAGTGAATATTTGCAAGAATTATTTACTGAATCATGTGAAACAAGTTGTCTTATGGTTCGTTTAAGTTATTAGATTTACAAATTATAGAATGAACGAATCTGGTTTATAATGTAATTATTAGATTGAAGTTTCAATAGATGTATCTTTATCTTATAACTAATATTGAATTAGAAAATACTTCTGTTTTTCCTTTCTATTTTTTCTTTTTTCTTGATAGTTAATAAAGTTTATTCTAGAAAAAAAACAACTTTCATTGTAAAGCTTAAAAAGAAATATGTGTACATTGTAGACAACTATCTACTCTTCATTACTATGAATAGAATTACCATGTATTAGATATAATATTTTGTATATTTGTATCAAAAACTTTTATTCTTAAGATCTTAAGACTAGTAACTATAAATTTCATATAAATCCCTATACAATAAAATGAATCAGACCTAATTTAAAGTGGGAAAATAAAACACATCATTTTACTACTAATTACATTAGCTTAAATGTTTTAGATCTTTTAAATAAATTTAATAAATAATGTATCTATATTTTCATTAGTTTTATCTTTATTACTATATAAACGATATATTTGATAAACTATATAAATTTCATTTTATATAAGATATATGTTCAGTTTTTTGAATGAAACAGTAAAGAAAAAAGAATATTATTTCACTCCCTATGTCATTACTACTGAAAATATAAGTGAATTTAAGCTTACTGAAAAGTGATAGTGTATTGTGATATCAAAAAACTGCCTTTAATTTATACAAGAAATTTACATTAATGTGTAACTAATGTAAATTACTGATAAGAATTGAACTCAGTCAAATAGGTAGATTATTGAATAAAATACAGTAATTTCTGATCAACGTAGTACACTTTCATTTAAATCGAAAATATTCTGATTACATTAGTTTTGGGCGAAAAAAAGGTTATTGTTTCTCTTTTTTTTGATTATTTTTATTATGAATATTGAAAAAATCTTAAATTTTACGTCATTTCATTAAACTTTAAGGCTAGTATAACCACTAAATACCTACAGCGGTATCCAGATCAAGATAATGGAAATTCTGTTGTTTAGAATAATGATATAGCAAAACAATATTTAATCAATACACTTCTAAAGCTGAAACTTTCGTAATGTTACAAGCACGAAGTAAGTTAAAACCCTTCATTTATGACACTCATATCAAGAAATCAGCTAAGCGAAAAGTTGAAGGATAATCCAGAAATTACGGATAAGGTTGATGAATAGCGAAATCATACAAACGAAGACAAATTATGCGACATGAGTAGCAGCTCCATAGATTTAGAAAGTTAAAGCCTCAACCATCATGAATAATTATCATGATATTTAAGTCATTCATGAGAAATAAAAAGTTCCTAATCATATAGTGAAATACAACAAAAAGTTAAATTTTAAGATAATGACAGTGACCAATGAGTTACAAGATTGAAAGAGGTAGGTGGCAAAGAAATTAAAAAAAAGTGACTGCGAAATGCAATATATATATATATATATATATATATATATATATATACGTATTAGAAAGCATGGCAAATCTAGTAGCATCGTGATATGTGCTACTGATGTCGACAGATATAAGTGGTATGGATGACCAATCGAAATTGTAATGTCTGGCGGCAGAAAGTTGAGAAAATCTCGGAAAAGAAAACGAGAATAGAGAGTGATTGATGCGGAAACGAAAGAACATCAAAGTCTAAGACAATTAATGGATATTTTGCAAATCAAGTGTTTATTGTATGGTTCTCAAACTTTACCAAGATATTCTATCATGTTGTATTAACATAAATGTCGTTGTCTCCACTAGCGTTCTCATGTTCACTACAGTGTTGTTTATGTTCATCATGTTGCAATCAAACAGTTAAATATTTATTAGGTAAAAATTTAGAACAATGTAAAAAAAATAAAGATAACTTTGTATAAAACAGGGACTGTAACGGATGTGTTGCATATTCAAATAAGCTATTGATTACTTATTGTCACATTCATGAATCATGAAATCTATACCTTTTATTTAATGATCATTTTAATTTATCTGTTAACAAAGCTAACCATTATTTTCAAAATTCTTATTAATAGGTTATTGTGTTGTGTTCAAAATACAATTCATTCAGAAAGACCATTATTACTATTTTCAATATTTAATACAACGTAAATAAATAATATACTTATAATATCCCAATGAGTAGAAAAATTGGATGTTTTTACGTCTCGTGGCGTACTGTAAGCCACTTCTTCAGAGAATAAATAACCAAATCAAATCACAATTAATCCAAGTTTAAATAGTACAAAGGAACAACAAGAATATTCTACACTAAATCACGAAACGTCGGAAAATCTAATTTTCTACTCATTGGGATATTACAAATATATTATATTTATTTACCCGATGCTCAATTTATTGGAAATTATCAAATCAAACCTTGATAATGATTTAATACAACGATTTTCATTCACTGTAAATGATCATACAAAATGTTACTTAATTTCAGTTGGCATTAAATGTAATGCTAGATTTTGTTTAGTCAGGGTATTTGCCTTACTTTGTGATCGAATTTACCTAAAACTGATCACATGAACTCAATTTGATTTTTAGTTATTTCGTACATTAATTTCTATATGAACCACCGTAATTAGCAATATGTGAAAAAAAAACAATAGCATTCAAAATGATCAAAATACATGCAAAAAATCAATTTTAATGATATAAATAAATAAATAACTTACTTTGTTCTTCAGATAAACTATATACGTCAACCAATGATAACATCAAAATGGTTAACAACATTATAATAAATAATTCGGATAATTGTGTTTTCATTTTTATTTGCGTACTTTATCTGAAAAAAAACAATTTTCGACAAAAAAGATAAATAGACAGAATAGTGAAATGTTATTTCATTCAAAAAGAAAAAAAACTTATTATGGATTTGTCTCTATGGCGTTTATTCTATATTATATCAACTATCATAATGATCATAAGTTAATCACACACAAAAAAATTGTAGTCATATATTAAATGTTTCTAAAACGTTTATAAAGTGTTACATATCTAATTTGCAAAATGTAAAAGAAAATAAATTTACTCTTAAACATGTATTTAATAGAAACAGTTTAATTTATCGCCATAATCTTTTAAAGATTGTTCTCTCTTAAAAGTTATGTAATAAATAAGCATTTTATTTAGTTTATTTTTTTAAAATAAAGATACTGTAAAATGTTTCACTACATTATATTCATTAAAATTGGAAATAATAATATTCACAATTGAATTCAAACTTTCTTTGAAATATTGAATGATAGTAATTGTTGTCTATTCGAAGTTTTGGAGAAAATTAGCATTATGTGAACTGAATTATTTTACTAAATTGTCTATTTCATAATTAATCAATAAACATTTTTTCACCTAATTTTATTTTATTGCTATCATTCTTTTAATCAAACCACTAAATATATATGCATCATAAAAGAATTCTATTGAGATCTTGAACCGACTGATGTTGGATCACCATTGAAAACCTGGAAGCACTGAACGGCCGTATCCATTGGATTGGCTAAGGTTAGACATTAATACCATTGGATGCCGGCTCAGTGATCAAGTAGATTAAGCGTTCGAGCGCAAGTTTGAAGGCTCAGGGTTCGAATGTTGCGAGCCGGATCGTAGATGCGCACTGCTGAAGAGTCCCACAATAGGACGAATTGGCCGTCCAGTGCTTCCAGGTGTTCAATGGTGGTCTAACATTGATCTGTTCATGATCTCAATAGATTAAAATATCGAAAATAGAAACAGAAAACAGATTACATGTTTTCTAATGAAATAACGTTATCACGACACAATAAGGTATTAAAAAAAATGAAAAAATGCGTCATAGAAATAATATTTTAATACTAATTATACAGATTAGTGGAATTAAATCCCTCCTCAAAACAATTTATTCACTGAATACAAATTGAGCATACTTTGAATACCTGCTGTATATATATAATAACTAATCATAATAGTGGCAGAAAACTGTATTTTTTGAAAATGAATGGTTCATGTACTTTTCTATTTATTTTCACTTTTAGTCAACGACCCTTATACGACCCAGCAAATAAATGATGAACATAGAAATTAATGATTGATTTTATGTTTTTTGACTTTATTTACAAACCAACTGACTATCATAGTTCATTGAGTTGTTATTTTGATTGTCTACGGAAAATACATATGAATTGTAAGCATTTGATAAATAAACAATAATTATGCTCTAATTACTTCAATTTTCAATAAGAAAACTATCAAGAGAACATAGTAACATTATATTGTTTTCATTTTGTATCAATCCACCTGTTTGTATTTATTTAACAATATTTTTCTTCTGTTAATTTAATAAGTAGATCAAAATTGAGAGGTGTAAAGTTTTCTCAAGGATTCTTGAAACAAAAATAAATAAATTTATATCCTCACAGAATTGTTTATTACATAATCTTTGTTTTAACTTATGAGAACTACAGTCAATTCGTTACATGGTGAATTAAAGTATTTTTGTAATTTTATGAATTCTTAAATAAACAAAAAAAGGAACAACTATAAGAATTTTGACAAGTTTTCTTATCTTCTTATATTGTTTTTACCTTAAGGTGATATATGGAAAACCTCCTTATCCATTGAAAGTGTAAGTATACAATGAAACGATTTTCATCCATCAAAATGTGAAATAGAAATAATAATGAATTTTTTTCTTCTTTTTCTGTAAATATTAGATATTGTACTAAAACAATGCGTTACATTTTTAAGTATTTGTAACCAAGTATTGGCTTTATGAGAAAAATAAATATTATTTTCACAAGCAAACATAGATAGTGGTTGACAGTGGAATTCAGGACACGCATTTCGTCCTATTTGCGACTGGTCCGCTGAATGTACTTGTATCGCAGAGTTGGTGTTCACACTGGGACTCGAACCTAGTACCATTTGGTTAAAATGGCTGAAGAATAAATATTTTGTGCTTATTAAACTCTTTTTCGACGATACAGTACACATGAATCAATATAGATGGCATGTTTATAAACAAGACTGATATTATAACTTACCTTAATATTATTATACTTTAAAATGTTTGACGCCTACAGAAATTATTTTAAACTCTATCTACTTATGAATATCGCAAACCTAAGGGGGGGAATAATTGTTAAGCTCTCTTCCCATGTATCAAGATTTAAAATGAATTAAATAGTTTGTTACTTATTAAACAAAACATATTCTGTTAAAAAATTAGATTTATAAAGAGAGTAAATAGATTTAGAAAGAAATGAATAACAGTGTCTGCGAATTCAAAATGCGAATTCATTATAGCTTTGTAAAGCTTTGTAAATAAAAACTGATACATTTAGATAGTAAGGAAGTCTGCTGAATGATTGTTTAATCCTAGTCAACCTGGACTGTTGTGACAAAGTAACTCATTGAAGACAGTGGTAGATGAGTCGGTCATTTTTGTGGATTAGTTAAAGTTGGACGTTAACACCGTTGAATGTTAGCTCAATGGTCTAGTGGCTAAGCGTCCTCACGCGAGACTGATAAGTCCTAAGTTCGAACCTCGAGAGGCGGGATCGTAGATGCGCACTGCTAAGGAGTCCCACACTAGGACGAATCGGCCGTCTAGTCCTCCCAGGGTTTCTATGGTGGTTTAACTTCAACTGACTCATTATCCCAACGGTTGAAATCATTTTATATATGTTAGATGAACACATTTGCTTTATACAAAACGTCATTGTAATTTCACTTGCATGAATTAGTTCCATACTTTCTTTTGTATGTTTTCATTTACTAGTGAGCAATTTAATTGGTATTTTAATACTAAAAATGTTTCTTTTCGTAAACGTTCCAGAAATAAGGAAAGTAAACATTATACAAAGCATTTAGATGAAACAAATTTATGCATAAATCACAATTCTGGCTTTCAATAGATTAATTATTATATAGTCTAGTAAAAGAGAATTTTTTCGGGAGGATTTCCACAAACTGAGTTATTGTCAAAATTATGTCTCATCGATATCTCCTAAATAAAATTACATTTACTATGTATTTACAGTGAATAAAACCGGTTGATAAGAGGTCATAAACCATGTTTCAGGCTAATATGCATTCATCAGCAAGGACGTTTTGTATTATTGACAGAAATAATTCTTTCCACTTTGCTTACTGTTAATTTATTCAGACTAATTTACTATAGAATTCAGATTGTTATGTTTATATGTCATCGTACAATATCTGATTTCATATTTTATTGACATCTGTAGCAGTTGAATCTTGTAGATCAAAATGTTTAACGTCATTAGAAGAAAATCAGGTCTTGCGTATTTCTGAGCTTAAATCACACTGCCTAATATCAAATCATAGTATATCATTTTGTGTCACTTAGATCAATGAAATCGTTATCAATAGAATCCTACCAGTAGTAAGAACTGAATGAACATGATACTGATCAACACTCATTAGTTAGTCATCGTGATTATTCACTTACCAACATTGTGGTTTTATATTAATGAGTGATAGAGAAATTGTCTCGTATCATAAATCAGCCACTTCCCATGTTTCGTTTATTTATAACATTAATTAAATTCAACAAGACTTTTCACCTTATACTCTTTTGTTATCGTAAGTATGAATGTAGTAGCAATGTAGTAATTAACTAAATCCTTTTCATTATCACTTTACAAGAGGGCAAAATCGATCCAGAACACTTATAAATCTTTTTTATGAAACAAACTCAATACATCATAAATAACTGTAGTTTAACAGTTGAATATAAATCATGAATGTTTAGACCAGTTATAATAACTCAGGTAATAAAATTGTCTTAAATTCAGTTGAAAATTTACGTGCCAGTTCTAAATATCTTAATACTATTTAACAATGTTTTGCAACAGTTTTTTTGTTTTTAGAAGTTTAAGTTCAATAAGAAATACACACATGAATCTGTTTACGTAACAACAGTATTTACCGTAAAACAAACTTCACTAAAAAGTACACCCGGTTAATGTTTACTATTTCCTTTGTTTGTTTGTTTTTTGTCCTTTTTGTTTAAATCAAGGCAAAATATTTTGAATTCGGCAATTGTTTTAATTTATAGTTACTTTTATAAAACAAAAACTCTTCAAGATTTTATGTCTACCATTTAATTCGAAGACTTATTTCTTTTCAATGTTACACCTTTGATATTTAATATTTCGAATTTGTTATTATAATATAAAAAAACTATTTATTTAAAGATGAAATATTTAAAACTTAAATAGTCATAAATAAGAACAAGATAACTTTCTATAAGTTTTATACAGAATATACAAGAAAGTTTTATATTATTCACTTATTTATTGGTGACATGATATTACCGGTAAGGGTAATCATTTTCAATAATCTCTTCTATATAATAATGAATGTTTGTATGATTAATATGAAATTTTCTTTTTCTAATTTACATTCTTATAATTAAATTTGATCTAAAATACTGTGATATTGAACTAAAGTATCATTGAATATTAGATGTTGAACTGAAATAAATCAAAAAGAATTTTGGAATTGAAAACGATTTATCTAGGATTAAAACAAATCCTAAATACCAGGCAGTTATTAACTGTTTATATTTTATTCGAAAAATTTATCTGTATAATCATGATTTAGTAACTTTGATGGATACCATTCCGCTGTTTCAAATGACATAAATTGGTTCGAAATTGTGATAACATTATTAACAGTGGCACATAGCAACTACCATCTGACTAGTCTCAAATATAATGAAAGACACGATATAATTAGTGTTGTTTTTTTTATCCTGACTGCTTACTTTTCTATTTTTGAGAGTAGTAACTTTGCTGACCATTTATCAACTTTGTTTCTTCAAACATGTGAATATCGTTTTAAAAAGTCCTATATTTGGATAGTAGATACGATGTATTAGTCAATTTATACATCAAAATATTATCCAGCAACAAACTTGTAATTTATGTTTTACC